TGGACACAGTTGATGTCGAGAAGGCTCACACTCAGGCCTGCTGTGAATCATGAGGCCCGCTCCTGCCCTCTTCCATACCGTTCACTGTCTCGCAGTGAGGATCCAAGCCGCCACCTGGGGTTTGGATTGGAGATTTCTGAGCTGGCTGTAGTATCTCAGACCCAGAGCTGTCCCTTGAGTTTCCGCTTTCTCCCCTGAGCATCTGCTGTCTCTACCACCCTTCCACAGATTGGTCTGATTTAGGCTGAACCACGCATGGTGCTTGGCACTCCAGACCCCAGTTGGCAGAATTCTCTGGGGGCATTGTTATTGGCCTGGTGCTGATAGGGCTAATTATTTTGATTATCTTGGCATCTAGCAAGCAGGCAGTTCTATTTTATATTTATTTATTCATCAATACGTCTTTCCAGAGGAGATTTAAAGTGGTTTATAAAAAGGCACAGCATGGAGCAAGATAAAATGAATTAAAAATGAGGAACGAGAGTTGGACAGAGTAGGAGTATCTGCAAGCAGATGGGTCTAAGGAGCTAGGGTTCCATGGCTTCTGTCTTGCAACTGGAATCTGTGCTAGAGGAGATGCTCTTTTTTGGGTGAAGACACCTCATTAGAGTTCATTCCAGTGCTGTCCTTGAGTCCCCCTTTCCACTGCCCCGTCTCTGCAGACAAAATACGACGTTACAAGAAGGGGAGCATGTGTAGTGTTCCCAACTCAGCACTGGGCCACTGGCTAAACTTTTTATTAAACTGCTGTTAGTCTGGTCTTCACTCAAGTATAAGAGGGCAATGCAGGTAAAGCCATTAGAAAAGGCCTGGGCATAAAACACCGTCACTACATGCTCCCATTATGATCATACAAAGCGACTGGAGTTGTGACCCTGGGGTATGACAGTCCCCGGTGGTGGTGGGGGGTGACTCAGATTCCTGCTTAGCACTTACCTAAGCCAAGTTATTTAATCTCTTCAGGCCCATTTACAAGTCTACAAAAAGGAGTAATAAGGACACGTCCCGAGTGGGAAGTTAGTGAGGCAGGGTGTACGGAATAGAGCAGTGCTCCGTGCCCAGCAGCCACTCTCTCAGCAGCAGCCACGGTGTTACCAAAAGGTTACCACGACATGCTTGGCCTGAAGTTCAGGTGGCTCTTATTTATGATCCTAGACTTGGGCGACATCGCAGTCGCCAGGTGAAAACGAGAGTTCTGATGTGTTGAGTCAAGGGCTGAAGAAGGAAGAAACAGGTACAGATTTGGTCGTTTTGAAGTTACTTTCCTCGTAAAGGTTGAAACAGAAAGGGTTTCCTTCTCATGTTGATGGAAACTGGAGCTGTTTGAAGCGGAAACCGTTTGGGGTTTGGCTCCTACCTCGCCCCTGACTTCTTGGGAGGTCAGGTAAGCAACTTGGATTTGGATCAGTGATGTGGGACTTCAGCATGTGTGACTCCACTTGGGTTTGGTCTTTCGGGCTAGTGTAGGGGCTCAGCCCAAGCCGTAGCCTCCTGTATGTAGCCTATGCAATGTTATTCACAGATATTCCTTTCCCTCGTCATGGGATTTTAAGAAGAGAAGGGAAGAGAGACCCCAGTTATAGAACCGGAGCAGTGCTGGAACTGTGCTGTGTGAGGACACAGAGTCACCTGGGAGATGCACTGCCTGGGTCTGAACGCAGGTTTCTGGATGCTATTTCTAGGCTTCCTGCAAACATTCTCTGCGGCTCACAGTGATAAGCTGCCACCCCTTCACCACGCCACACGCTTTCCCGAGGAAACCCCTCCCTCGCATCAGTAGAGACTCGAGCGTCTCCTGAGTGGTGTAGAATGAAGTGAGCCTCCTGACTTGTGAATTCCCAGTGGGGTCTTCCAGAGCCTGGGCGATTACGTCCACTTGGGCTGAAGTGATGAGTGACGGAAGTTAGGGGAAAGCACAGAGAATTTGGAGCCAAAAGCCCTGGTGCTCTTAAGAAAGTGGCTTAGCCATTTTAAGCCTCATTTAACTCAGCAGTAAAGTGGAGAGAAATTTGATTTCTGAATGACTGAACAACCCAGTGGTTGAAAAATACCTGTGGCAATTTCATGTTTCAGGGGTTTGCTGTGTATTGGCACGGTGTGTGTTCGTTCCCTTGAATTACATCTTTTACTTCTCACAGCACAGCGGTTTTATCATTGTAACTGCAGAGGTGTGAAAAACGAGACCCCCACAGGTTGAGGAATTGGTCCCAAGTCACACAAATACAAGTGACCAGCCTGCACCTGGAACGGGTTCTGTCTTCAGGGCCCATTTTCTCCCCAGGACACTGTGTGTCTTTATGCTGGGTGGTTCTAGACATCACGGAACTCCCAGGACCCCAGGGCCTTCTCTCTGCCAGTAGGAGGATAACACTTTTGAACAAAGTTGGCTTGAATGTATCTCAAGAGGGCCTGAAAAACTCCACGTTTTTCAATAGATGGGTTTGTTGTTGGTGTTTTGTGACATTATTAGATTATTTTTAACATTTTTGGGGTAAATGGTGCATGAGGTTACTTAATCCTCACCATTTCCTAAAGGCTCTGTTATAATGAACATTGTATGATGGGCCTGTTCAGTGTCGTCTGTTTACTTTGATAATTTAAACTCACTACACCTGACAGCATTTCTTCCCATAACACCATCCTCTATCTCGGTAGATATTTCTTCTTCTTTTTAAAACATATTGCCCATGCATGGCTCCATGAGATAACTGTCCTGCGGGACTGGAGTCTTTGTCTGCTCTGTTCCAAGGAACTAGAAGAATACCGGATGTTCAGTACGTTCTCGGTAGATTCTTATTGAATAAATATTGAATACAGACTCTTTGTCTCTTTGGTCAGGATGATTTTGGTGAACCCTTAAGAACACAGCAAGATTGACCAAGGACAAGATAAGATTTGACCCCCCAAAATAGGAAAATAACCTAAGTATTTATACTTGTAAGAACTCAGTGGAGGAAAAAAAAAGCCCCACCAGATACTGACCTTTATTCCATCATCAGATCAGCTTTTGCCAAACATTGATCAAGATTTTACTTTGTTATTTATCTGAAGCTCCATGAGATCTTTCTCAAACTGAGTTTTTGTTTCAAGGATGGAAAGAAGACAAGTAGAATCACCTTTGACATTCACTTTCCATATTTTTAATACCTCAATTATAGCAGCCAAAGTCACAGCGACAGGACTGTCCTAACACCTGGCGAGAGTCCCATCTGTATCAGAATCCTAAACTCAGCGTGATGGCTTTGTCCCTTAATGAGCTTTGCAAGCTAATTCCGGAATGGCTTGATTCACTGATTGATAATGGTCTAGCATTTTAAAAAATGGGACAGGTCCTTGGGAATAGGAGGAGAACTTGGAGACAAACAAGGCCATGTGGCTTGGCAAGAAAAGAGAGGAAGAAGCCATTTGGCAGGGCAACAGGCTGAAGAGGTTCTGTCCGTGCTGGCCCTTTCTGGTGCTCGGTCTTTCTGGCGCTCCATCTTGCTTCTAAGTCTGTTCTGCTCATATGCACACCAAGCACAACCCCAAATGAAGGCAGAGTTGATGTTGGAAATTCAGGTGACTGAGGACTGGGAGATAAAATTTTAGAATGCAGTCAAGAGCATGTTACTCACATTTGCCATGAAAATTGTATTCTGGTTTGGATCTGGATTGCACCCCCAAAGCCTTGTGCTCAGAGGAGAAAGTGAGTGGACTGAAAAGAGTTTGGAGCTAAACGTGCTGTTAGGAGGTAGGGATCTGGTGAGAAGAGAAAGGTCACGGGTGTGACCGGAAGTGTTCGTCTCCCTTCTGGCTCCTCTCTCTCTCTGCGTCCTGGCTGCCATGATGTGAAGAGCTTTTCTCAGTCCAGGCTCTTCCGTCATGGCACTGACCACCCAAGGACTGAAGCTTCCAAAACTGTGGGCTGAAAGAAACTACTCTTCCATTAAGTTGCTGGTGTTGGGTATTTCATCTCACCGAGAAAACGACTAAGACAATTGTATATATTTATGGTGCACAACGATGCTTTGAAATATGTATATATTGTGGATCGACTAAACCTAGCTCATTGACACATGTATTATCTCACGTTATTATTATTTTTTGTGGTGTGGGCAGAAAACCTTTCTTAGCAGTTTTGAAATGTGCATTTTTATGAGCTATAGTCACATGTTGTACGATAAACCTCTTGAGCTTGGTAAACTTTCCTATCCTTTGACTGACATCTCAGTCCTCCCATCCCAATCCTTGGTATCTGCTGTTCTATTTTTTATTTATCTGTGTTCAACTTTTTAGATTGTATGTATGAGTGAGAATGTATTTGATTTTGGTACTTGTCTTTCTATCCCTGCATTATTTCATTTTATATGCTGTCTTCCAGGTTAATTCCTGTTGTCAGAAATAACAAGATTTCCTAACGTTTTACAGCTGAGTAGCATTTCATTGTGTGTGTATTTTATAATACTTAGAAAGTAACCCTAAGTGCATGTGAGTGACGTTCAGTATGAAAATTATGTTCTTTGACATAATATTCTGACTTTGGATTTGTAACTCATGAAGTCGAGGAGGCTGGGGTTCAGGAAGGTTAATTAGCTTGCTCAAGATCTGGAGGGGTTAAAACTACCTCTGATTTCACAGCCCAGTCCCTGATGTTGTGCCGCTAGGTTTTCTCCACCACAGGGCTGGTTCCGCAGGAAGCTGACATAGATTCCAATGTGGGGCTTGCGACGTTAGACGTAATCCACGGAGCTGATTCCAGCTCTGTCCTTGCCCGTTTGGACTGAAAGTTTGAACGATTCACCTCACTGCTTTGTCCCTCATGTTCTGTCAGAAACAGGATTTGTAGTACTGACTTCCAAGGGCCCTGGAAAGAGTGAGGTCCAGTTTGCGCAGATAGAGAGTGTGCTTTACAACTCTAAAAGACCATTACTACCAAGCAACTATCACCCATGGTCATCGTAACTGGTCTTCAAGGAGACTCTGTTTACTTCATTTCTGTTTCAGCAGGCGCCATTGGCTTCATGGCAGAGAACGGCACCAGAGTGGTCCAGTTTGTTCTGACAGGGTTCCAGCTCCAGGCAGCGCAGCGGCTGAGTCTCTTCGTTGTGTTTCTGGCCTTTTACCTCGTCACCCTTGGGGGCAACCTGGGCATGATCACGCTGATCCAGAGTGACCCCCAGCTGCAGACACCCATGTACTTCTTCCTTGGCCACCTCTCCTTCCTGGACATTTGCTACTCATCTGTTATTGTCCCTCAGTTGCTTCAGATTTTGGGGACCGACAAGATGGTCATCACCTACGAGCGCTGTGCCACACAGTTCTTTTTTTTCACACTCTATGCGAGCACCGAGTGCTTCCTCTTGGCGGTGATGGCCTATGACCGCTACGTGGCTGTGTGTGATCCCCTCCTCTATGCCACAGCCATGACACCACAGACCTGCCTGGGGCTGGTGGCCATGGCGTACGCTGGTGCCATGGTGAATTCTGTGGTCCGCACTGGGTGCACGTTCTCTATCTCCTTCTGTAAGTCCAACCACATTGACTTCTTCTTTTGTGACCTCCCACCCCTGCTGAAACTTGCCTGCAGTGACACCCGACCACAGGAGCAGGTGATCTTCCTCTTAGCTTTCTTGGTCATCACAACCAGCATCTCAGTGATTCTTATATCCTATCTCTTCATCATTCGAGCTATTCTGAAGATTTGTACAGCGGGTGGGAAAGCCAAGACCTTCTCCACCTGTGCTTCCCACATGACCGCAGTAGCTCTTTTCTTTGGGACACTCATATTTATGTACCTGAAAGGGAACATGGGAAAATCCCTCTGGGAAGACAAGATTGTGTCTGTGTTCTACACCATGGTGATCCCCATGCTGAACCCGATGATCTACAGCCTGAGGAACAAGGAGGTGAAGGAGGCTTTAAAGAAAGTTCTCAGAAGAATGAAGGTTTCCCAAGCAGAGTAACACCAAACCCCATTAGTCCAGAAGTCCCTGCGGGTCATCCTTTGACTTCTGTCATGACCCTTTAGCACATGAGCCAGATACCACAATGACAAGGCTATAGTGAGGCAGAAAATGTAGATTTGGATTCTGGAATTTTATTAGCTCTATGACTCTTGACCCAGAAATGCTGTGCCGATCTGTCTCAGTATGGTTAAATGTCAAGAGCTCTTTAGCTAGGATCGAGAGAGATGGGACAACAGAGAACTTGTAAATAAGAACACACTGTAAAATGTAAGGCTTATTTTTCTGACCCACCCTGAGAGTTGCTGACTGTTTTTGCAGCAGTTATTGTACTTTTTCCTAAGTTAATTATTGTGCCTAGAATTATGAAATAATAGCTTTTCTTTTTTACATAGTAAGGGAAATTCAATTCTTTGGTTGTGGATGATGGGGTACATATAAACCATTACCAAAAACACTTAATATCCAATCATGTTCAAGTTAGGCATTTGCCATGGAAAAACACAAGCAGCTAAACAGAAAAAAGGTAAAGAGGGGAATGGAGGTGTGATCTGGGAAAGGTTCTATAGAAATTTCCCATGGTGACAGAAGGTACAACACTGTGCTGAGAAGAAGATGTGAGGGTCTGCATTAGCTATGGGAAACAGTTTGATGTTGGGGTAGGGCTGACCTGGACCGTGTGTGTGTGTGTGTGTGTGTGTGTGTGAGTGTGTGTAACTCTGTACTACCCCTTGTGGACCAAAGGTGAGAAGCACTGTTCATGGAGTTCTGCCTTAATTAACTCCGGTTATTTCCTATTCTCCAGTGAGGAAAACCACTGTGCACTTTCACCTCCTCTCTGGGACTTTTACTTTATTGTTAGAAGGTGGATAACTGAAACTGCACGTCAGCTTTCAGTGAAATCCACGTCTGCTGGAAATATCACTTGGGAAACATCTCCCTGGAGCTCTGAGATTCTTATTTACCAATTCAGCAAATATTTAGGGGCTATAGTGTCTACTGTGCCTCAGAATATTAGGCTCAGAATAGGGTAATAAATAAGATAGATGTGATTCCTTCTGCATGGAGATTACAGCCTGGAGCTTAGATAGCTATTAAACTACTATCCAGGCAATTCATTAATAACTCACTATTATTATTATAATTTTTGAAAATGGAACAAAAGAGAAAACAGGGAATTGTTATATTGTCTAATGGCATTCTAACCTAGTTTGGCACAGCCAGGAAAAGCTCCCTGAAGAACTAAAATGTAAGCAAAAGCCTGAAGGGTAAGTCTGTGAGAATTGTGCCTCGAGCACACTGTTCGAGGTAGAAAGATCCTTGGACTCAGGACGTGCTCGGTGGTGAGAGAAGGCAGAGCGGCCGTAGCAGGAGCGCAGGGGGCTGCACGGGAGACGCAGCTGGTGGTTTCAGGTGAGGCGAGCGCAGCGCCTTGCAGCTCGGACCAATGAGCTTAATAAAAGAAAAGAAAAACCCAAGAAACAGTCAAAATGTTAGACAGGGCTTTTCTGCTGGGGGGTTACCTTGTTCTCCCCGTTTCTGCTTCGTGAGTAGCAAGCATCCCCGCTTGTAACTGGATGATGTTTGATGCATATACAGTACTCGGTACACATTTGCTTCAAGCAAGCGCTAAGTGGATAAAAACAGAGTGAAATTTTAGTGTTTCTGATGAATGTAAAAGGCACTGGGAGGGAATGGCTTTGCCAGTTACACATACTTGTAAATGAATGAGAACGTTAATAAATTACCTACCGTGTGTCAAGTTCTGTGCTGTTTTCCCTTATCTCATTAAAGTTCTCTTTCCTTTAATAAAAGAAAAAAATCTCTCATTTTAAAAAATAGACTGTACACATAAACTTTTAGGAGTAGAATCCAGTCAGTAGTCTTGGAATTATTTGTTTTCTGTCCTTACCAACTTTTGGTGTATTTTTTTTTTACAAACTGAGCGTTGGAATTATAAATTTGTAGCTGGATATTTTATAAATTTTACAGCTGTAAATTATACAATTGTGCTTTGGCTTCAGTTCCCCAAAAAATGCTATTGGAAATATGAAGAAAGTAGGTCCTCAGGCTCTGAAATGCCCTTGTTAACCCAGTGCACTGCCCTTGTCATCTAGAGCAGCGCTGACACAGTATTTGGTCGCGGATTTCTGCTTCTGAGGTAGTTACTGGAATGGGTTACCCTGGATGTCAAGCTTGACTGGATTACCGCTTGGGGGTGTAGGCGTAGGGGACACGATGGCATAAAATCCGTACATACACGGCCTTAGGCTCCTGGCAGAAGTGTGCACTTATTTACGTTACTGGTTTTTGTTTGAGACCAGGCCTCTCCATGTAGACCAGGCTGTCCTGAAACTTGCAGGGATCCTCTGGCTTGCGCCACCATGCCTGGGAGTGTATATTTATAGGTTTATTTTCATGTCTGGTTATGAATATGGTCTCAGAGTCACAACAGTACTGATAAGAGAAAATAGTCACAAAAGTTTTTTTGTTTTTTAAATGAGAAGCAACACAGGGCGGACAGAAATACTTCTCAGACTTTGTTTTGTTTTCCCCTTTACCCAGATCCGTTTTTCTAGCCTACAGGGAGAGGAAAGCACCGTCACAGCCACATGCCACTGACAAGATCAAAAATGCTACAGCACCCACAGATTTTGGTAGCAAGGAGGGTAGAGGGCAGAAAGGAAGTGAAACATATGGATTAGAATATTTTTACCGGTGATGGAGTTCAAAGAAGGTAAGGCAGTGCTAGGTTCTGGTGCTGAGTTCAAACCTCGAATGATACTTTCTCCCCGGTCTTGCTCAGACACAGCGTGACTAGGAGGATGAGGCCCGGGAGGCCGGGGACAGTGCAGGGCAGTGGAAAGGGAAGCAGGCAGCTGGCGACCCGCCGAGGGCCAGGGCGTGGGAGGGTGCTGCGGAGATCAAGACGCTTCGTGGACATTATTCCATTCGTCCCTTTAATCCTTTCGGGGAAGAAAACCTCAGCTATTTCCACTTCTCTCTTCTTCAAAACTCATGAAGTTTTCTGAAAATAGTTGAAAAGAACATTGTGTCTGTTTCTCTTTCTCAACATAATCTTTGTCCTTATTTGAAATATAATAGCGCAAACACAAAAATAAAAAAAGTGATGGCAGTGGCAATAAAAAGTACTTTTATTCTGTGACGGAATGAATCATGAACTCTTTCTATTCTCCCTTGCTAAATTTGCTTTTTGGGTTTTAAAACCTGTCCAGAAGACAGTGCAGAAAGAACCATCTAGTTACCTTGATCGTGGGTGGAACACGGCTGGCCTTAGCCAGCTCGGTGGGAATGGTCAGTGCTCGCAGGGAAGACACTGCCCAGGAGGCAGCCAAGCCAGGCTCTAATTCACTGTGCACCGCTCATTGCCCAGACATCTCTGGCTCAGCTGTCCACGTCTTGAGGATGGCATGGGGACATCTGCCCCTCCTGGAGACCCTGCTGTACCTCTCCCTCGTCACTCCAAAGTGCTTTACTAGTGGAAAGTGACCTTCTAAACATGCTCACGGCACCAGGCCACTTCCTGCTGAAACAGTCAGTGATCCCTTCTTCCTCCTGGCGACTCAGCAGCGTAGGTCCCGGATGGGCTGGTTTCTCCCATCCCTCTGTTCTCACCTCCCGTTCATCCCTGGGCACCAGCTCTGTTGTCCACCTGCCCTTGGCTGTGAGGCTCATCGCTCCTTGTGGCCGTGTACTTGATGTTCCGTCCGCGTGGTGAACTCTTCTTCCAAACCATTCCGGTCTCCGCTCAAGGGCTGCCAACTTAGAGCGGTGTCTCACACACTCGGTCTAAAGTATTTATTTCTACCCCACCTCCAGTGCCCAGTATCTCCTTACGCCACTTCATCTTGTGTATAAAACCATCACTACCAAAATTTATATATTTTTGTTTACTCATGTTTGTTTCATTACATCAGCAGTAAAGTCAATGTGAGCAGGGACTTTATCCTTCACTGCATTTCTTCTAGAGCATAGCTTTAGACTTGGCACACAGCTGACAGTGAAAATTTAAACATTTCAGTTTTAAAATTTTTGATGGTGGTAAATACACTTGACTTTAAACTTGCTATTTTAACCACTTTAATACATAATTTGGTGGCATTAAATACATTTACACTGCTGTGTAGGGCTCACCTCTCACTACCTATCTCTACAACTATTTCATCATCTGAAACGGAAACTATTCACAAAGCATCCTCCCTGTTAGACTCCCTCCAGCCCCTGGTAACCACTACTGTGCTGTCTGTGAATTTGCCTACTCTATGTGCCTTTTTAAAGGAGGACCATATGATATTTGCATTCTGCAATGCTTATTTCACTTGGTGCAATGTTTTTAGGGCTCATCCATCTTGTAGCACGTATCAGAACCCCATTGCTTTTGATGACTAATAAACCACCATATATCTGTAGCACATTTTGTTATCCATTCGTCTCTTGGACACTTAGAGTTTCCAGTTCTTGCTTACTGAAGATAATGCTGTTAAAACCACCGGTGTATAAATAGCTGTTCAGATCCCTGTTTTGAATTCTTTTGTTTATATACTTCATAACGGAATCGTTAGATCAGGTGGCATGACTATACTTAGCTTTTTGAGGAACAGCTTGGTGTGAAATCCACCTCCCCACTGGAATATCCAAGGATTCCATTTTTCTACATCCCTGTGAATGCTTATTTTCTTATGTCCTACTGGGTGTGAAGAGGCAACTCACTGGGATTTTGAAAGACATTCTCTAGTGACTAGACATATGGAGCTTTTTCCTTGCGGTTAGTGGCCAACTTTACATCTTCTTTGGAGAAATATCTGTTAGTGCTCTTTGCTCATTTTAAAATTAGGTGGCTTATTTCGTGGTTATTGTTGAGTTGTACAAGTTGCTTTATATGTTAAATATGAACCCCTTATAAGACACAAGGTTTGCAAATATTTGTGCCCATGCTGTGAGTTGTCTTTTTACTCTAGTGACAGCATCCTTTGATGCAC